GAACACTCCCCTTTTCTGCGGTGAAAATAGTAAGAAATTTCCATTCTCTCATAGCCCCGACTTCCCCGCCCTCCTCTGGTCCCCCCATCAACCCCCTGCCTGTACCAGAACCGAGGCGGAAAACAGGAGCATCCTCTGTCTCAGAACAGATCCCCTCCAGTGAGGGCACATCCCTTGCAAACAGGACCCTCCCGCTCACCTCTGAGGCTTTGGACATCATCCCAGGGAAATTCCCCGAGGGCTGGGAGAGCTTGACAAGTCCTTGCTCTGTCCCTCCCCAAAGCTGCATGTACAGGAGGATCACGATGCCCTCCAGACAGCTCCTTACCTTCCCTTTCCCAAAGCCAGGTGCCCAGGAAGGAACCAGACACAGGGGGCCAAGCAAATTATTTGCCAAGCAAATAATGATTTATAAATCCCTAAGAGCACATTCATGGTTTACTTCTTCCTTTTCCCTAGAAAAGCAACAAGAAATAACCACAGGAGCCACCACCACCATATCAGTCAAACCAGTTTCTCCTTTATTAGGTCCAACTCCACAGCACTTACACTGCGACTCAATAAAGGAAGAAGTTATTTCAGATAAGATTTAAGGTTTGTGTCTCCAGGTGACTGTGTACAATCAGGTAGCATCAGTAAAACATTTGAGTAATGCACCTAGAACAAAAAAGAACAGAAAATAAAAAAAGAACCAGAAAAGCCATTTAAGAAGCAGCCAAATATCTCCACAAAGTTTCCATGAGGTTTCAAATGGTTTATTTCCATCCCTTTTACCCTCAAAATCCCATCTAACCATCCTCAGCTCAAAAATGCAGGTACTGCATTCCCAGCACAGCTCCTTCAGTACACCCTAGCACCAAGACCTCATATTCCAGGGCAAGGAGGAGGGAAAGGACTTAGAAGATCCAGAATTAAGTACTATTTGCAGCAGGCTGACACATGGTATCTCAATTCTAAGAACAATATTTTAAAAAATAATATGATACTGGTCATCTCCTGAAGAAACCAAGTTAAGAGGCTTCACTTCCATGAGGATTTTTATTTAGGGCTTAATTTTAGTCTGGGATTAGAGCACATCAGGTCTTGCCCATATCCTGCCTTTGCCAGGAGTTTTGGGGTACAGTAGTCCCATGCTAAGAGTCTGGGAAGCAACATCATCCCTTACCAATAAAGTTTATGCTTTGTCCAGGCCCAGTTCCTCTGGAGTGGAGATTCCCAGTTCACTCAAAGTTGGTCTAAGCTCCTGGATAACGTAAGGATAGATTTCCTTGTGAGGTCCTGCCTTGTCCTAAACAAAAAGACAAATGGTGTTATTTCAGCATAGAAAGATTCTTCCATTGGTCTTATGCCTCCAAAATCTCCACACCAGCCACTGCTTGTGGCAGAGCAGAACTGCTGGCTTCTAGGGCTGGTTCCTCTTAACTCCCTGGGAAGGCTGGATTCAAGTTTCAAGGTTTAAGGTGTTTTCCAGGCCCACCCAGCTTTCTGAGTTACTACTCCCAGCCAGCTCAGCACTCAATCCCTTAAGAAGCCAGTAAGCTCTGTGCTCATCATGCAGCCATTGATCACAGTAACAGGAAAGAGTGGTTTCCCCTTGCAACAGGAAAAAGCCAGGGGAAACTCTCCTGCTGCCAGGCTCTAGCAATGCAAACACAGCAGTTCCACCCACCTTTACAACCTCCAGGATGCGGACAGTGCTGGCAAAGTCATTTAACCGTCTGCAGGCCCTCAGAGCCGCGTCAATGATTTTTGGTTCTGGGACCAGGTCGTAACCCACCAGTGTGTTTATGCCTGTGGAGACAAGAAAACACTAAGAGGAACTTGGAATCAGCTTGCCATGCTGCCAAAAGGAACCCCTTGCTGTCTATTCCCTTCCTCTCCTTTCCAAGGGAAGAGCCCAACACCTACCCAGCCAGGTGCTGTTGGAACGATCCCTCTGGCTGCAATTATCTCATTATGCAAACACAGTTTTAATTCTTAATTGGGGAAGCTTAACAAAACTTGGCAACTCCACAGCAAAAAACTGGAGACAACCTGACAACAGTCTGCAGTCAGTTAGGGCCAGGCCACTGGGTCAAAGTCCAAAGAAAAACGTGTGTGGTTACACACTGAACTGAGCTCAAATACACTTTCCTTGGAGCAAATGTTTCTCTCCCTCCCATCCAGGTGTTAAAGTCATGGAATGGTTTGGGCTGGAAGGGACCTCAAATGTCACCTAGCCCACCCACCTTCCACTAGACCAGGTTGCTGGAAGCCCAACCTGGCCTTAGACACTTCCAGAGATGCGGAGTCCACAAAACGGCCAAGTAAAGTTGTTATTTCTGGTCACCAAACTTACATTTACTCCAGGTTACTCTTCCCTTTTCCCCAGCGTACCTTTCCTGAGCTCCCAGGCATCAATATCTGGCTTGTTGAAATACGTCACCCAGCGAGCATCGAATTCTTCATCTGACTCTTGTGACCCGTGAGAGTAGCAGCGGGCATGCAGCACAGCTGGATCCAGAAACAAAGGAAGACATTTGGAGCAAAAGGAAAATAACAGTACTTGAGTCCTTACCCAGAGGCCAGAAGCCATAAAATATGGATTTCACTTGCTACAGTCAGCCTGGATCAGTCCTGGATAAGCAGTGGATGGATACAGCTATTAAATACTGTGTTTTGGTTTGTAGCAAAGTGTCTATTTTTTCCACATCAGACTTCCAAAGTGTCCCCAGAGCCTTTGGTCAGAGCAGGATTATTTAACAAGAAAACCTCTCTTAAGGACTGGTTATCCAGAGTTGATTTTCTGGCATCCCTATATCTGTAAGATAAAGGAATTTTCCCTTTTCCCAGAGTCAATAGAGCTGGAGAAACATAACATCATTCATCACCAAAACTCCACGAGCTCAACTACAAAGGCTCTCAAAAGCAAAGGGATGAGAGGTACTTCTTCCAACAGGCAGCTGAAGGATTGAAGGAGAAAAAAAATGATCACTCTATGTCCATCCAAGATGAAACTCCTGGATCTCAAAGTTGTAATTGCATTAATATTTGATAATTAATCACAAAAGCAGATTGTACCCCAATGCACAAATTAGTCTGATATGATTTATAAATTAATGTCTTCCCTCAACACTACTCTGTCACAAATTGGGGAGTTCTTTGACGAAATTGTCTTATTTTACTGCATGAAGGTTGGAACAGTTTTCCAAAGGAACTTAACTAAAGGAACACAAGCCTGGTGCTTCCTTTCCCCACTGCTAATCTCACTCCACTAATATTTGCAGAGGTCACACACCAGATATGACCTTGGAGCTCAAAGCTCCGCTTTAGGGAAGTCAAATTTAGCTCCTGACTTTTTCTTTCTTAACCCACCATGAACCACTTGTGCTGACCAGCTACAGAGTTTTATTTAAAAGAAGAAACCCCGACACTGGGTTGTATTTTTGCTGATATCCTTCTCCTCAGTCTCACTAATGACAGACTTCTAAGAAGTCAATTTTGGTTTTTTAACAGAATTTAACATGGTCCAACATTTCAGCCGCAATTCTGATTCATGGAATGAAACCATGAAATTAGTTTTATGTATTTTAGCTAGGGAAAAGCAAATAAGAGGCCAAGCTGGAATTATAATCATCTTTTGCCATTCTGTAGGGAAATTCCCCCTCCTCTCCCCAACTCCAAAACAGACCTTTGACCCTGCTTTCTCTAATAAATCACCTGCACAGCTGAGCTCAGAGCAAGAGCACAACTCTGTAAATGCTCCTGCACGCAGGACACTGCTGAAAACCCCCCAGATTTCAGCTGTTTGGGGGTGAAGCCTTGTTTTTCCTAAACAGAAAGAAAATCCTACAGAGAAATAGTCAATCACAGTTTGAGAAAAGCCTAAATTGAAGTGCTCAAATGCCACCTTTAAGTCTTAAAACTAAAGTCTTTCCTTAACAAAACTATTCCCTGGATCCCGAATGAAAATAAAGACCATAAAAATTAGAACTCTGGATTTCCAGGGTGCATTTTTCAGCTGCTGCTACATTTCTTTTCCACCCTGTGTTTTCCACATTAATGTTTATATTTTGAGGACTGGGCTCTGAGACTTATTTTGCCTCGAATGGGGTCCTTCAAGGTCACTGTCACATACATCACGTGTGTGTGACAGCCAAACCACGCCAACCTATCCATGAGGAGATTCCCAACTCAAGGAAGAAGCAAAGGGCACGTACCTTTGCTTTCAAATGAACACAACAGGCATCAAGAGCCTAAGAAGCCTAAAATCACCTAATATTACACAAAAACACGTTAAAGCTTCTCCCCAAGGGCCTGAATTTGTCAGTTTTCCCTGTTAAAGAGCACAGAAGAAAAACACATGTGAAGAAAAACATTAATTTATTGAAAATCTGGCAGTGAGGAGGAGCCCAGGGATTACAGAGGGAACGTTTTTCAGCAACACAAACCCCCGAGGCCACCCTGAAGGCCAAGGGGTCACAGCAGTGTTAAGTGGGGTGTTTGTAACATAAGACCTTGGAAAAGAAGAACTTGGATGGCCACGAGCAGACGGGGTTCAGCAGCACAAAGGAACAGCGAGCAAAGACTTTTAGTGGATTTTAAAAAAAACCAAAAAACCCAGGGTTTCAAGAAGCACCTAAAAAATCCCTATGCTTATTACTTAAGCGCAGCAAAACGCTCCCTTAAGGCAGCTGTTTAACTCACACGTGCCGCAGCAGAGGCACACACAGGTCCCACGCATTATTAGTGCCTGCTAATTAGCTATTAATTGCAATGCAAAGGTTAATTAGCTATTAACTGCGATGCACGGGCATCGTGTGTTCTCCGCAGTCTCTGTATTCCAGCTCTGCCACCCTGGCCACCGTCACACGGTACTGTCTGCGGCTGCCATTCCTCCTCTCCCTATTAACTGGTATGTTAATGAGGTGTTAATATTATAACTAATCGGGGTGTTAATTAGAGCGGTGTCGGCTGGTCCGGAGCTGGAGGGGGCCCGGTGGCGGTCAGCGCCGCCCTTCATCAATGTCACCTTGGCGGGGGGCGAGGGGAAAGCGCCGCCACCGCTCCCCGCTGCAGCCCCCGGGGAGGTGTCCGGGCCCCATGTGAGGCCGTACCGGCGGGGGGGTCCCGGTGGCGGCGGAGGGACAGGCGGGGGCGGCCCGCACTAGGCCGCGGGGTCACCGCAAGGACACGCCGCGCTCCGCCGCCTCACACCCCGCCGGGCCGGGATCTCGA